GGGGGGGGGGGACAAGAAGAAACAAAACAAGACAAAAAGGTTTGGACAACTCGTTATGAACCCCAAAAAAACACATTACAGTACAGAGAATGGCAACTCCCAAGCACACAGAACCACCCTCACTGGTTAGCACACTGAGAAAGAACACAACAAGGAGAACAGGAACACGTGTCACATGAGCACAGTGATCGACAGATTAAATTGCCACCCAAAGAGGCTTGACTATGTGGTGTCATGGTGAAAACAGTCAACGTGATTATATACACACACATAAAATGCAAAACATAAATACACACTGAAAAGGCTTTGATTTGCTAAAATAAGTGAGATCTGCAAACATCAAAGAGTATTACGGTCCATTTCAAATTGGGCTTACACTGTGCAAATTTACTAGGGGAAAAAAGAAGGGGTAGAAATTCATGGCCAACTGTCTCTGCTAAGAGGTTTAATCGTATACATCAACGCGAGAGCCTTGTGCTGCCTGCTATCTGAGGCTTTATGCAGTGAGAGCTATGTTGGAGATGCAACGACAGGCTAATTCCAGCCTTTGTAGAGTGTGATGAAGGAGGCGGTAAAGGAGGAGCTGAGCTGAGCAGAGCCGCCTGCCAGCTGAGCCCACGAACACCAGCAGCCAGTGGTTGCCAAGGCGACGGGCCATTGTGCCGGACTGCAAGTGCGGTGGCCCTTCACACTGAGATGCGGAGGCTGAGCGTAACAGTGACAAGAGGACAGGACTATGGGGAGGGAATGGGTGCCACTGGAGGTGAATAGCACTTGATTTGGGGGTGGAGGGGGTTAAAATGATGAAGTAGGGAGGGGCCTGTATAAATACTGGATGAGAATATGTACTCGGCTATGCTGAAGGTGCCGGCTGTGAGGCCAAGAACACTGTGCACTGTGAAAGCACACCTACCTCTGCTCTGACCATCTGGTCCCCGGAGAATTCGGCACTCTTCGATCTGCCCGAAAGACGAGAACATCATTCTGATCTCGTTCTCGCCGTATTTCTTTGAAACCATTCCGATGAAGAGCTTTCTGTCTTCTACCGCTGCAGAAGGATGAAAAAAGAGAACAGCTATTCAGTTAGACACAAACAATTATAGAGCTATGAAAGCGGCAGTTACATCCGGTGTTAAATCATGCACCTCTCTTTTTCTTGTTCAAGCTCTCTCCTTGTCATGCTGCCACATTTTCTGCCTCTCACTCAAGGTGCCAGCCTCTTGGTACAAATCTCTGCGACTTGCAGCTCTGTTTTCATCGGTGGCTACTTCTCTAGACAGATGACTATATCATCCATTTGTGCTCCCCTCCAGATCCCCTGTACCTGCTCTACTCTTTCTCCCCTTGGGGCCTTTTAAAGCCCTTAATCCTCCTAACCCCTGATACTATATCAGGGTTTACTTTAGCCAGCATATGCCAGTTTTTGGCTGCTATCATGTGTAGTTGTCCGGCAGGTGAAAATATCACTGGCCAAAATGCCCAGTGGGACAAAGCCAAATAAATGTATTAATTAATGGCATATTACATAGCCCAATAACGTGTGACCTATAAGATATGTTGCCAAGACAACCTAAATTATGCAAACTATTGCTGTCTTCCACCCTCATTGAGAGATTCACTTTTCTCAACAATCGTTCATCGGCTCCACTTCACATTTGGTGGGTATATTGCTGGGGACCCAAGGAAGTGCAATTGGTGCAATTTGGACATGTTCAGGTTCAAAATGAATAAACTTTGAATAAACTTTGAATAAACAGGCCCACAGCGTCTCTACTGCCGGCGGCGCTGTCAGCTGAAGAGTTGATCACACAACGCAGTAGACGAAGATAAGGAGATGTAGAAATACTGTTACATGTCTGTTAAAACAGGAGTTTAGTCACATTTCAGTGTAGTCGAGAGAGAGAGAGCTGTCCTCCATTTCAGTCAGTTCTCTCTCTTTCGGTTTAAAAGTAGGCTAATGTATGGTTATTTAAAAACATGTCTGCTAGTTGTTCTAAAAGTATTCAATGAATATTGGCACTAAATAGAAATTGTGTATTGCTGCACATTCCCTGAACTAAGTCTTTCTTGGGCTTTTGCATTTCTGCATTAAATAGAGACACAATCAAGCCCCCACCTTCTTTTAAAATTTCACACTTTTTGTCTTGCTCATGTACGATTTCTCAACAGATACCATTTCTCTACCATCCCATCCCTCGGCTGGTGTCAACATGGCATTTCACAGGAATCCACTTACCACTCGTTTTCTCGCTGTCAGCGGGTTTCATCTGGATAGGATGATGCATCTGAAATAAAGGGTAGAGAAATGGTTAACACCGCACCTGTCACCATTATAAAACTATGCAGGTGCTCAGCCTTGTAATCTCTCATCACAAGGGTCTCATAGCTTTACACTCACTCACCCACCCCACCCTCCATCTTCCAAGTATTTCTCTGCTTCTTGTTTTGTTCTCTCACTCTGAAACCATCATCCTTCACCACTGCCAGATTCAGGAGGAAGTGTCTATGAGTTGATGGCAAGGATCTAATTCTCCAGTATCCAATTTCACTTCTTGCTGTATCGCAGACTTGTGATTGAACTTATCGATTCTTCCTGTCAACATCCCTTATCTTCTTTAGAAGAATTTTACAGAGATAGTTGACAAGCAAGCCAGTTCTGTATTGCTTTCAAATGTACAGCCTGAGTTTTGAGAAATTTCACTCTCACACCATTAAATCTCATACAAAAACAACAAGGTGTGGCAAATCTAAGCTGTGAAAAAACTCATTCGAGTCAGCCTAACATCATCTGAACATGACGCCTTTTCTCAAGCTGCGTATGGGAGAAAATGGATGCAGAATTGCTGCAGGATCTGTCATTTCATGCCATTTAATGAGCACTATTGTCCAAGACGACTCATAGAACTTCAAATGAATATATTTTTAGCACATTTACCTGCCATGCGACACGAAAGAGAGGAAATAAATCTAACTGAGATGCCTGAGCAGGTTGTACTTATGAAAAGTGGTGGGTTTGTTTTTGACAAGCACTAAAGAGAAGCAGACAGATGGCCTGCTCAGTATGGGTACTGGCTAGCGTTACTGACCAAGGAGAGCAAGGCACAGAAGGGAGAGAAAACAGGAACAGGGAAACAAGCTTTTCCAATGTCACACAAACCAAACGCAGTCACTTGCAGTAAATGCCAGTAACAATATGACCGGGGATTGGGATTCGAGAGCTGAGCTGTTAGACCACACTTTATTTGAAATGTCTGACTGATTGATAGTCTTCCAGTGAAGAGCTAGGCCTGTATACTCCGCCTGCTACCCTCATTTATCAACCCAGTTCAATATTTACCTGTAACCTCAACGACGGTGGCTCCTTTTTCAATAGACTGGTATTGACTTAATCGACGGTTGGAGTTGTTTGGTATAGATTTAATTGATTGGAAGGAGAGTAATTTAGAACGGTGTATAGGCAGGGTAGATTTGTAGAGGTTTAACAAGCAATTGCACTTATTCTAGTTGACTGGGCTTTAATCTCTTTAGATAAATCAGGTAAGGAATTAAGAGACCACATTCACTAGGCTGCATTGTGCAAAAGACTTCAACTGGCTTCCTTTTATATCTCCAACTTTAGGAAATAAAAATGTAGATGTGCATCAATGATTCATGAAGACAAGCATTAATAATTTGTTCCACTTTGTGGCGATCGGGTCCTGTGCCTCAGTGAATAACCTGCTGCCTGGTCAAGCACATTTTACCTAATACCTGCGTCTGTGTGTATGTTGGGTCAGCTGGGTTATCAATTCAGTGTGCTGAGGTTTGGGCAGTCCTCAGTGTGGTGTTAGTGCATAGTGGGGGCTGAGCTATTTCTCAGGCCAGACAGGCGTTCAGTGAGCCGGGAGCTCATTATCGGCCAGCACACAGCTCACAGCCTGCACCAGGGATGTAGAGGGGCTCAAGCAGCTAAAAGCAGCCCATACTGTGCTTACTCACCCCACTTAAGGTCTTTATGTTGTGCAGTGCATTCTGGGCCTCCAGTGCGGCTTTTCTTGTATAAAAAGTTACAAAACAGCATCCTGCAGAGAGAAAAACAGGGACACACAACAAGCGGGGGGGAAAGAGAGAAGGAAAAAAAAAAAAAACAGCATTAAAAATGCAGCGCATACAGACAGTAAATGTAATACCACGACTGCTGCAGAGCAGGAATGAAACTAAATGGATGAGAGCATGTTCTCCACGCATCACATGTTAGAAACATGTGACAGGCTATTCATAGCACCAACTGTTAGATGCAGAACACAGCTCATGTAAGAGCTTGCAGCGAGGACAGTGGAGTAATGAGATAGTTGAAGGCTGCTGTGTGACACGGCCATAGAGATGACCACAGGGTTAGATAGCTGTCAGGAGGCACTGATGCACAGTCCGCAGGTCAGCACAGCCCGGGCACACCGGGGCACAGTACCAACACAACAACACATCAGAGAGAGTGGTGCCGTATTACATAAGAATCCAATCACATACAGAACGTACACACAGGAGACATGAAAACAACACAAAGAGACAAGAGGGAGCAGAAGTGAGAGTGAGGAAGAGGAATCATGGAGGAGAGGGGTGGTGGGGGAGGGGGATGAAGAAAAGAAAAGCGGGGGAGGGAAAGGAAAAAAAAAAAAAAGCCTCTCATCCTTCCGTCCCAGCAGACCGCCAGTGGCGTTCCAGCCTGTCAGTTTCACTGGGCTGGGGAAGTGGAGCACTGCAGCGTCTCTGACCTACATAGTGTGTATTATGCTGTTACTGGAGCTCCCAGGCCGCGGGGAGGGCTGTTGAACTCTAATATGCATCGAGCTGCTCCCTACTCTCTCTCACAACCAGCTGAGCTCTCTTTCTCTGCTGCTTAGCCCTGCCTCCGATTTACTGGAGCTAAATAAACCATCCAGAGAGGCGTGATAGTTATCAGATGATTTTTTTCATGACCTGCAGCAGACGTGACCTAAAAACCGCTGCAAATCTGATGGGTCCTCAAAAGATCCGTGGCAAAGTAAACAACCAACATGGAAGTGGGATTACAGCAATTTCAACGAACAAATCAAACTAAAGCGAGATTGATGACACAAGAAGGGGTTAAGGGTGCTTTATCTGCAATGCACATAAACATGAGCGAGATATCATCAGGCCGTTGTGCTTTGATAAAACTGACCCCACTTCTCCCAGGAGTAGTAGGACTACTGGGAAAGGAGGACGGCAGTGAAATGACGGGCGTGCTGCTGCAACATATTCACCTCAAACAGTCTGGGTGAGCCAAAGACCGCTGTGATCAGGCCAGATTATCTATTAGAATACATTAACATTGCATTAACATGTCAATAGGCCATCACAGCTGACACTCCACATAGAACAGGGGCGGGGTCTGCTAAAAAAAAAGGGTGCTTTGAACTCTTCAGCTTCCCAATGAAGTGCACAGTGTTGGCTGTATATTTACGTGCAGCATAATAAGCACCCTGGAGATTTTCTGGTAAATCTTTGAACACATTCAGGATTATTTGGTGACGTTAGTTGTGTGTACATCTTTGTTTAAAGATCATGTGAATCAACTGCTGTCCTGGTGACGCGGTGTGTTGCTTTTAGGGCCCTCACACACTAAAGGCTCTTTCTGACCAAACAGTCTGAGGAGTGAGGAGCTCTGGGAACTGAATAGAGATTGAAATCAGAAAGTAGAGGTTCCTTTTTGCACATTCCATTAAACAAATTATACAGCTAACCAGTTTAAAGGCAACGTTATTTAAGACAAGTTTTTTGCTTGTGTTCTTTTTATTTTACTGCTGAACGACTGACATTTGAATGGATGCTAGGAATAAAGATAGAAAGCACCAGAATGGTAAGATTTCTGTCTCCAAGTAGCAGCTTTGTTGTCTTTCACCCATAAAAAAAGAAAGGGTGGGGAAAAAAACAAGGAGAGACTGCGATAAATGGGTAAAATCACTGATTCACTACACTCAACTTGTCAGGCAAAACTACCTCTCAGACTTCAAACCCAGTCAGTGGAAAAGCAGCTTATCAAAAAGAGCCAAATAATGCCAGTGGTTTCGGATACACCTCAAAAACTACGGGTGACAGTTGGCCACCTTTAATGATGGCCGAACCGCTCCGGATGGCTCGGTGTGGCCACCAAACATACTCTGCTTAAGACACAAAGTCAAGCATCAAACAGGGTCCCACCACATTAAAACCGTAGAGAGGATTAGTGCCTTTAACCACGGTGAGTCATCCAACCATCAAGGGAATTGAAATTTGGGTGATGTCGCAAACCCAGGACAGTTGCATCAGGCAAACTGTCTTTTACTTTATTCACCTGCAGTTAGTTACGGGAGACTGAGCACTTCCAGTTGCACTTTAGAAACCTGCAGACAGCAGGCTTCTACTTCACCGTCTCCTCTAATTGCAACCTAAACTGAATCGCTCAACTCGAGCACCATTTCTAAGGTAAGCGCATCGATAAAGGTCTTAATGGAAAATTGCAGTTGAGTAACACTTCCTTCAATGTTGCTTTTAAACCAGAATGGCAAAGTAAAAAGAAAAAAATAAATCCACCGAGCAGGGTTATGGAAAAAAAAGTGGTTATTTTTTTAACCCTGAAACAAAAAGACTATTGAATTATCTCATCTGTAAGCACACACACAGCTGCACTGCGTGTGCAGACAGGCCGTAATGTGCACTACCTAAGGGAAATGTGCTGAAATGTGATGGCAGATGATGGGGCATTAACAGTTTTGTGTACGGTACTTGACCACTAAAAGCCAGGGAAATAAAGGGCAAAAAGGTGGCCATATAAAGGTCTAAGTTTCTGGCCACTGGAAAGTAACCAACTAATATTTAGATGCGGCGATTCATGATTATAACTAACAATTTATGTTTTAAATGAAAAATAAATCACTGACGCCAAGAAGTTTGATCCAAGTTGCAGGACCTCAGAATGTCTTAAAACTGTGTAAATACCAAATAAACATCAGTTCCTATAATATAAAATAGTAAAAAGGAAAGCAACCGTACAAAATAATGATTATCAATTGCAAATCAGTGTATTTGGTGTAACTGGTTAATGTAATGGATCAATTCAACGCACTCAACACTATATTTAAAACAAATCTGTTGGCATGGTTGAACAAACAATCCTTAAAATCATTCTGTGTCCTGAACTTACCTTTGCTCTGAGGGGGATTCTGGGTGCGGTCACGGAGGATGTTGATCTGGTGCACAGCTCCAAAGGGCTCAAACAGCTCTTTTAGTTCTGTTTCCGACCAGGAGCGTGGGATCTGTCCCACAAACATCTTGATGGAGTCTGGGTCTGGCTGGTCCAAGTGCTCCAGGGACCCGTTCATTTTGCTTCCGTTGCCGTTGCTAAGAGAAACAACAAAAGAAATCTGTTATTAGTGAACTAGGATCTAAACAAAATCGACTTTTAAAGTGTAAGTACTTTCTGTTGAAAACCTATGTATATATAGCAGTGTCGTTGATAGATTCAGGTCCCACATTTTAGTACAAAATATTTGAATTCCACATATTGCGCTATAAATGTGCATAGTGACCATCGTCTACTGGTTGAAATTTGACTATTGCAATCGAATTTTGCCATTTGCTGATCACCAGCCAAGCCCCACCTCCAGAACCCCTCCTCCTATAAAACCTCTCCCGACTCTGCACACTCAAGCTTGCTATGTAGCCGTAGCTTAGCTAACGTTACAACACAGGTAATACACAGAGACTTTTACAGACGTCCGTGAAATGTGCTTTTAGTGACAGTCAGAGCTGCAGCAGACTCTCTGCATCTCCAGCTGCTCATGGTTGGTTAGCTCAGTTTGCTCTGAACCGCTAGTTTAGCTAACACACACAAGTTTTTACCAATGACTCAGTGTGCTTCTAGTGACAGCGGACTCTGCGTTTCCAGCATGGACACACAGTCTGACATGAGCTGCTTATGGTCAGTTGGCTCATTTAGCTCCGTCTACCAGCAGCTGTGCTCGTGCTACTCTGAGCGGCAGGAAGTCAGCCACTCTGGCCCGTGTTACCTCCCGCGCCACGAGGCCACACCGCCTGTAGAATTCTTTCTAATCTACTGTGGGGCTCCTTGACATGAAAAGCTTTTGAAACCATTGAATAAGGCAACAAGGATTACAGGATGACTCAACACCTTGATATCAAAGTGGTAATCCTTAAGATCTGACACTTTTGCAAAATATCTATCTAAATTGGAGGTCAGTAACATAGTATTTAAGAAATGTGATTATTTCACTTTGGTAAAGCGGTTGTTAAAATGTCTAACATGTAACTAAAAGGCTTTAAAATCAGAAAAAGACTTGGAAGTCTTGGAAAAGGGCCTGCCAAGACAAGACATTGTTCAATTTCATCCTTTTTACATGATAGTGGTTACAATAATGCTGCCAGAACAAGTAGTTCCAGCAGATCTGAAAAGAAACAGCCAATTGACAGGTCTGCCGGAGGGGATAAACACAAGTGTGCTGCAGAGTTCGTTAAACTGAGAGGTCACAAAAACACGCAAAACCAGTTCTACTTCAAAGTGGGTCAGGACTATTTGTTTAACACAGTAAAAACATCTGCATTTTCCAGGTAATGAAGAGAGGTAGACAAATGTTTGTCTTAGAATTTAAAATTTTATTTATTTAAGTCTTCATGAGCTTTTTCACAGCAGCCACTTTGACATGAAATAGTAGGGTAAACACAGGTGATACAAATAATACCCATGACCGTCCTATTTCATGTCAAAATGGTTGCGTGTTTTAAATTATTGTCAGAAGGATTTACAATGCATTTGCCTTCAATAAAAGCTAAATCAGTCAATTAAATATTGTTTTGGAAGGCAGTTTCAAAGACTCTTCAAACCAGTTGTAGTCCTTTGGGCAGTGACAGTAAGAGCAGTAACAATATATTGGATTTTAGCAATATACATAAATACAGTTACAAGAATGATGATCAAGTAGCTAAGCGTTTTTCTCCTCCCTTATTTTTTACAGTTTTAACAAGCTTGTTGTTGTTGTGCTAAATGAATCGACCGTATGTGTGAAACCGGTAACCAAATATACCAGGCGCCAAATGGGTTATAGAGCACTAAATCCTCTGCAGTGTGACTTGTTAACATGTGCACACTGAAGTAGATGCTGAAACAATATATTGTTTACAATAATAAACTCTGAATTGCAGAGTCAACAGCATATCGAGAAACAATCTGGGTGGCCGGGGTAGTAGCGCTATAATGGAGATGAGTGAAACACTAAATCGTGCCATTTTCCTTTCAGGCAAGCCTTAGGGACAGAGAATCAATACTCACCAGTGTACCTACGACTACAGCACCTTTGTCTCTCTCACACACAAATGTTTCCTAAAAGGCGCTGGAAATCAGGGAAGAGGCCAAAGCTACAGCCACCCCCCGGTGTCGAGGCAGGGGAATCATGTTAAGCACAAAGTATCCCTCCCAATACACAATGTAGCAGCACGGAGGATCAGGAAGGGCCAAGGATCACAAATACAACACAAAAACTACAGATTCAAAATATTATCGGCACACAACCACACAGTACCAAATTCTGACAAAAAGATACACTAATGTAAAAAAAGGATTTTACACAGACCTTTGGACACGAGCCATCCATCTTTTACAAATTGAGCCCAGCCGTTCTGCAGAAACACCAAACTCCTTGAGGGACTTAAATGACATACTAACAAATCACACTTCAGATTTTTTTCCCCCTTCTGATATCCAACTCCACACCTCAGTACCACTGGTTTTTTTTCTCCTGGAGGCTGTCAATACATTCGAACGATGACATATAAACATAAAAAAAAAAGAAGAAAAACAGCTCCAGTAAAACAAAAGCCTCTCTCCACCAAAAAAAAGGGGTGAGTGCCCCCCTCCCACCAGCTCCGACAGCTAAAGGAAAACAGCACTGCAGAGCTCTAAACCTCCAAGAATGGCTGGTTAGCAGGCAGAGATTTTGCGGTACATCTCCTCCTCAGGCGCTTTGGCGATGGTACAGAGAGTAACCTACAGCTTCTTCACCACAGCGCGGGAACAATCACATATTGTTCCCCCATGCTGGAGAACACTATTCACCGTTCCTCTACAGCACAATGGGCCAAGTCAGAGCGATGCTTTGGAACACATCGAAGGCTACGTCTGCTAAGGCCACAGCACTGGTGGGTGACACCATTTATCCAGTTTTGCCAGTGGCACTCCGACGCCATTTTGCTGTGGGCCCTTTGATGAAATCTCGCTGTAGGAACGGCAAACCTCGTTTGAAAACTGGGTTTGTGTCACAGCGTTCGACAACATGACGGCTCCAAATCAACTCCGTTTGAACACTGTCTCCTTAACGATCATTCAATTCTCAAAACCCCCTGCAACTACGTACCGTCTCCTCTACGCAAGAGACCGTTGGAGACAAATGTAACTGCAATGATTCAACGTTTGGCCCCAACCACAAATTAATTGCATTAATTACTGCATAAGTATCGTTATGTCGCACATTTATATTACTCTAGGAAGTTAATTAAATTAGTAATTCAAGTAATAAAACTCACTCATTAAAATTGTTTTCCTCAAAGTGTAGTTACATCATGGAAATATATTGTACAGTGCACGAGTGCACAGACACATTAAACTGTTTGGACCACTCGAGAGAGAAAGGAGCAAGAACAGAGAGAAAGGTGAAAAAATGCCAGAAACTATAGAAGTTTAGGGAATACCTCAAGTTAAAAAGCCCTCATGCTGCTGCAGTAGCCTTAAAGATATAGGTCGACATTTTGGGAAATATGAATCTCTTTCTTGCTGAGACTTGGAAGAGAAGATATGACTCTCACATCTGTACGGTAAATATGAGGCTACTGGAAGCAGCCAAAGACTTAGCGCGAAGAACAGAAAAGAGGGGAACCAGCTATCTTGGCTCAGTTTGAAGGATACAAATTCAATTTATCAGCACCACTAAAGCCCAGTAAGTTACCGTTCCTGGACAAGAAATAGTGAGGTTTCAACTCTTGCTAAGAAACCAAATAAGCTCATTTCCAAACATGTCAATCCACTCCTTTTAGGGCTGCCCCTGAAAACTTTATGATTCAAAGTCAGTCGAATGTTTTTGCACTTTTATCTTTTAGTTGTGTCACTGTACACAGAGCAATGCAGAAGCGACAGCATGGCAGGTTGTGAACTTTACAAACTGAGTTTCAAAATGACCACAAAACTAACTGTGATGGAAGCGGAGAAGGGTTTTAGTTAAGGGGGGTAGTGTGAAGCCGGATAGAGGGGCAGCAGCTGCCCCGACACTCTCTCCTCTGGTCAGTGAAGTCAGCCTCCTCTACTGCAGCCTATGAGCAATAAAAACAATTTATATACAATACAATGTTTTAACATCACAGATATCACTGAAAGGCATTCAAATGTGAGGTTGGCTAAAACATGCGTCTTGTCGCATTTCAACCACAACTGCTGATATAGGAGTTAAATGTGGCGCTGAACTGAAAAAAAGAATGAATAGTCATCATACTGAACAGCGAAATCGAGTCGGTACAGCCCTGACTGCATTCAAAGGTGAAGTGATTAACTGTGGCTAGCCCTGCTAGCTTAGCTACCATGAAGGTGACAGCTGCCTATGAGGATCAGTATCTGCCAGACTGCCAGTTTTAAGTGACACCTGCTGATCTTTAAAGCAGTATCTATCAGTGGAACTAGAGTGTCAAGCCGTTTAAGCAGCATAATGTTATGTCAATACAGCAGTGGCATTATGCCAATATAAAGCTACTGGCTACACCTTAGTATACTGGCAACAGTTCTTACAGGGGTCGTTTCTTCAGTAGAAATGAGTTTCAAGTGTTCACATTAGGATCAATAACCAGGACATTGTTTCAGAAACTGCTGGTACTTTTGTTTTTTTATAATTGCCACAAACAAAATGTCATTGACCTCTTGTATTGTGACAGCAAAAACCTCAAAACAGACACTGCCTCTCAAAACCTGAGCAAACATAACCAACGTATCCGCGTGGCTTGAAACCACTGTAGTAAGTGAGCAAGTAAACCAGCACTATAAAGCCTTACACTACAGTTAAATCACAGCTTTTTGCTAAGATTTGCCTGTTCTAGCTAAGCACGGGCGGCTATCTGCTTAAGCATCGTATCCACTTTATCCCCCCCTCACATACACATTATTGTAGGGACTTAAACTCCCCAAACTACCCGGCAGAGCGCTCCCGGACAGTACTGATGAAGTCTTTTGCTGAGTTTCCACAAACAGCGCTGCGATGTGGCAGCTCATCGTGCTCCAAGACGCCTTGCAGCAGCTGACGAGTCGTTCAGAGCCGGAGCCACGACGGCTGCATGCTTACTGCTGCACCACCCATAAAAACAGGTGATTTATCTGGACCATGTGTCGGTCCTGTTGGTGAGCTCTGACCGCGCAAGTATGCCAGCAACACCTTTGCTGTGCCCATAATAGAAAGCTGGCCAATTTGCCTAGTAATGCGCATGATTTTGAAAGCTCAGCATTGTGTGTTAGGACGTTACTCATCGCCAAACCATCAGGGGTCACAGCAGCAACACACGTCACGTGGTTTTCTTTTGTCACCACTGCTGATGGAAGGCAACCTCACTGCACCCAGTTACTTGTGGTCAAGGAACATTTTTCTTAAGTGTTATTTGGCACTTGCAATATCAACTAAACGACCACTGTGTTGCTTTAATTAAAACACAGATTAAACCGGTCTAGTCAGGGCAGTGTTACACATAATGCTGAGTTTTAAGTAATAGACAAACTCTTCTGCCTTGGGGGGTTTTGGCAACCAGCAACACAATGCTGTCATGCTTTGTTGGAGATTAAAAAAAAAAAAAAAAAGAGTCAAAGTTCACATGGACACTAATCATGCTTCTCAGAAAAAAAAAGAAAAATCAGTCCAGTGAAACAGCTGTTTGCAAGTAATACCCTCAAAATTCATGAGTTGCTTTTTCTTTCAGGAAACCAATGGCCTTATAAGCTGATTCAACAAGACACAGAATGCCTCTAATGCCTTGGTAATATCTTTGACAGCTGTCAAGTAGAACATAAAGGCTCTCTCTTCCAGCTCCGTCTATTTTCTCCTCTACGACAAAAAGAGACAGAATATTCGTTGACAGGTTGAATAAGGTTTCATGAGCTTGATATAAAAATATCCTCCTGACAGGCGGCTTCAAGTTGTAACTTAAAAATTGGTCACAGAAAACAGCAGCAGGATTTAAAGGTGTGCTGTAGGAGGCCTGAGCGAGAACCACCAGGACCCGTGGCTCAGGTTTGAGGGGGAAAAAAAACAACAAATGACAAACAAGAGTGGATGTCGCTTGAGGCCAGAAAGCACAAACAGGAGGACTGTGTGCTATCTGATTTCCATACCAAGTAGTCGACCCTAATCAGCACATTGTGGTTCTGATGAGAAGTTATTAAAATATTTTCCTCCAGGCATTACCTCCAATTCAGCACAATATGGCCTGATTTCATTGTTGCATTACCCCTAATGAAGACAGACGTGTTCAATCAGCCTCTGAATGGGCCGCATGTTAACAGACGGCCAGAAACTGATGACAAGGCCCGCCCCATTAGACCCATAATCACCCCAAGGGTCCCCGGCGGTTATGGATGACGCTGCTAAAGTAAAGCTCGTGTGAACCAACAGTCAAACATCCAAATAAATAAAACTCTGCTCACGCCTCAGTCCGTATCAGGTGGAGCATGAATTTAAAGGTGGAGCTCACCGGAACGGGAGCCGGCATTACCAATGCATCTCAAATGAAGAGACAAACAGCTCGCTAAAAGCAGCAATTACACTTGATTACTTTGACAGTGTGCATGCTGCCCTGGCTTACTGAGTCATCCATTATCCTAACCTGTGGTAGGCAATAGAACATCTTTAATTAATACAAAACTCCCTTATTAAAACATGTCATTTTTGCCTTCAGTTAATGCTAACAAATGCAGCACATTTTCCTGCGAGTTTGGCCGTGTTCAAAACCACTCCCTGATTCACCACTTCACACTAAAACGGGATTTTGGACACCTCTGCGTTTTGTGTCACAATAGTAATTGTGGGATTGTAAGCTGAAAGAACTGTACATGCCATGGACACCGCTTTTTTTTTTGTTCCTTGCTGGAATTAGGACTCCAGTAAATGCTGGACCATTAGAAAGCACACCATAAAGTAAATAATTTGCAATTTCTGGAACAGCTACTACTGCGCACAAAAGCTTTCTGCCACACTAAGGCATCAATCAATCTAAAAGAGAGCTTCTCTTGTTGTCACATCCCCTCAATCCAATCCATTACTGCTACTCTTGACTTGTCCACTCAAGAAGAGCCTTTTCAACTAAACAGCTGATTCCACTTCATGCAGACTGCAGACACTGACTTCTAGGCCACAGGCAGGCTGAGCCGAACGGTGCATAATCTTGAAAAAATCATGGTGAGTGATATCAGATTTTGGACTCATACTCTCCAACATACCATAGTTTATTCTGCTGCTTCAACAACCTTTGGTGGAGCCTTTGTGCATTACCAGCCACACAGTACTGACAATTTCACTGATGTGGTGAATGCATCTCGTCTTACATAACCCTGTCCTACAATATCTTGTTTGCAAAGCGTGCAGAAGAATTTGTTCAACCTTCGATCACACCTCTTTACATAGGGGCCGTGATTATGAGCGTTTCAAGGCTGTGCGTGTAGTTCCAGGACAGTCAGTCATGTAATTATTGCCACGCAATGCTATCAGCAGCAGGAGCGGAGAAACAGGTGACAGACAAGATCAGAGCCCTCTTGGCTTAAAACATCTGGGCTGCATGGCACTGTCCCACCGCCAGCGCCACCCTTACAGTGAGGGGAGAGAACAGAACAGCTGGCCCGAGCAGCCCCGGACCCCGTGCCAAGATCCTACACTTCGCACAGATCAACAGCTCCCTGGCCACAACAAAAGGGATCACTGTGACGCTTAGCGTCCTGACATAGCAGTACGGCTGCGTTGGCTGCCAAAGGATCACCATTAAGCCCTGATAGTCGCTCTCACCGTCAACAATCAGAAGGGATAAATCAATCAAATACAGCTGGGGTGAGATCGAGCCGCTCATGTCTCCAAGTCCTACAGATTGGATTAAAAAAATAGCCTTTACAAGTGTGGAATGTTATTTTTATTTTTATTAAACCATTCATTGGTTCATTTGATTTGGGATTATAATCAAAAAGGTAGGGCTGCAGCAAATTATTTTCATTAAAAATTAATCGACTGCTTCTCTACAAAACGTTGTCGTTTAAAGCGTCCATGACAATTTCCTAAAGTGCTAAAGTCCTCAAATTACTTGTTTTGCTCAACTAACATTCATTAACCTTAAGATATACACTTTACTGTCATACTAGACAAAGAAAAACAGCCTTCTTCCAATTGATAGTGGAATTAGAGAATATTTGGCATTTTTGATTGAAGAATTGCGATGATCTTTTTTTTTTTTAGGTTAATCAACTGTTTCACAGTCAATAGAACAAAAAGGATACAAAAACACAGGTCACTGACTGATAGGGATGGCTGCAGGGTCAACCACACTGACATAAGTTAATGTAAAAACTATTCATTATTAAGTTAATTAATTAAAGCTGGTTAGAAGAAATACCCTGACAAGACAACAGCTTGGTCGTGGCATTTCCCGAAGTGCAAGCTCATGAAAATCAAACGACCAGGCCCATTTGTTTGCCACAAACTAAAAAGATAGCCCTCTTGAAAGTGCCAACCTTTAACTTTTTAAAGTCCTGTGAAAGGGAGGCTGTGGTTGTTTTGTTGAAAGTGTCTCAGTCAAACAGGATTAGCTGTTATATCGACAGGACCGCGTTATAATATGGACCTCTGTGCTCGGCGAAAGTCTTCCTCTCCCTTGTTTACATGCCCTGTCACAAGGTGTCCATTAATGGCTCAATAATGTAGCAAACCACGTGTTTTCTGCCATTAAGTAAGCACTCTCAATTCAACATGGACGAGGGGCTGAATCTGCAGCTAACGACGCTGAGCTAGCTCCAGTGCTAGCGCAGAGACACGGGGAGGAAGCCGACAAACCAGGTTTACTTGCTGCTGCTTCGACTTTCGCCAATAAAGCTGGAAATAAACCGCCCCGATATCGAGACAGTGGCAACACATATCCGCAGCAAACTTCACGTCCACTTAATGTAGTGGCTAACTCAAACGTACGTCCCTTTAACCCGCCGATAAGTGTTTTAAAACCCTTACCTTTACGACCGAGCACACGCTACTTGCTCATTTGCATCCAACTAAACAACAAAAAAAAAAAGGCGGTGCAGTATTTGTACAAGTAACACAAACACACACCTAGGTTTGCTGTTCTCTTAGAGCTAACTAATCGATGTTTTTATTCCTGGACTGATAACCGAAACGTGTGGTCTCCGGAAGCACATGTCACTTGACTATTGTAGCGCGCCTCGTATCCGATACCGTCGCTAGCGAAACTGCGTTTTTCTCCCCAGTCACTTCGAGTAATGTGTGTTAGGCGTGTTACATCTACTTTACTCCACTTCTCCCGTGGTCACACCCCGTTATTATCCAAGTTAGGCAAACTACTTCAACTCCAGGTGAGCGTGATTAGCTTCACGTTAGCATCCCGGCTGAGCTAACGTTAGCTTAACTCCCCCCCCCCCAAAAAAAAAATAAAATAACTGAACTGTGTTTTCTCTTCATCTTTACAAATGCCAGTCGGTAAAATATTCGAGTCGCCGACGGAGAGAGAGAGGTGTGAACGTAAAATCGATAGTTACTATTACTTACATTGTGTCGCTCGAAGTCATTAACCGACTTTCGGCCAGAGGGTGGAAATCCAGGTTGTACGTCGAAGTCATGCTCAAAACAACGTCTATCTAACAATGAGAAGCGACGTCCGCTCAACTCCGGCGAGACGGCGACAAGACGAAGCAGAACAGGTGCAAGGGAGAGGGGGGGGGCGTCTTCTTCAAAACTGCATGAGAGAGCGAGAGCGAGAGAGAGAGAGAGAGAGAGAGGGGGCACCGATATCCGCCTTATTCCTCCTTCCTCCTAATTTCTCTCTCGTCCCCCCGACTGAAATAAATTGAGGCAAGCCGCTGTCACACTGCACACCGAGCTGCAGCAAACCAGAGGCGTGGCCTCTTCAACAAAAGTCTGAAACCATGCTGCCTGCTGCTCAGCAAGCCTCACAGCGCCTCTACCCCCCCTGTAAAATGACTGTAATGTCCCTTTAGGGGCTGGCACGTGGTATTCTATGGAGAGTTTACTGACCTATTTGTAGTTTATTCTAGTTTATCTGCTATTGCATCACCACTATATTGGTCCAGTGTGAGCCCTTGTGTGTCCTGTAGCTTTTTTTTTTTAAATTTAAATTGAACATAGAAAATGCACAAGTTTATTGTGAAGGAAGGTTTGGTCTGTGGATTAGTCACTGATCTAATGATCCTGATTAGAGAGCCATTTAAAATGTGTGTATATATAGTACCCAGGTCATTACCATCATGATTAATAATGCTGTTCCGCTTCCCATAATTTCTCAGGAGTCTAAATAAGGCACCTGGCTTGTTTTTATTGGATTACGCAAATAATCAAGACTATTTTCCAGCTTGTTTATTGCCTTCTTTTGCACCACGGGTCCATACATCTCTTCCAATCAAAAGTGAGGTGATTAAAATGCAGTTTTGCTTTCTCCACAGGGTCATAGGTCATGCTCCCCTTTGTTTTGGGCTGTTGTTTCCCTAGGGGGAAGGGGAGCCTATCTTCTTTTGTTGTGCTGGACTCACAGGGCGAGGCCTCTACACTTGGGGGGGGTGGAG